ACTCGGCGTTGAGTGGCTCATTAGCCACTCGACTTAAGGTCGAGTGGCTAATGAGCCCGAAACCGGCCTGCAACTGTGCCCGTTCCAAAACTGAAGGTCAATTCTTTCAGTTGTATTGCCAATTGCATATGCAGGAAATTTTCTGTGAAGATTCCTGCACTGACGCCTGTCGGATATAATCCAACGCCCTTCGTGGTATCAGCCAGGGGAGTAGTTGTTTTCTGATAGGCATCCATTCAACCTATTGTGTAGGTTTCTTTAGATTTAATGAATGAATGAATGAAAAAATGAATGATAGGTATAGACGTGGAATAGATTTCATGCAAGTTTCCTACTATTCACAAGATATTTCAGAATATCTGTTCAAAAAGAATCTGTTGGTGATCCTGAGATTTGTTTTGAACAACTTTCATTTCAATTGATATACATAACAATGCATTATGATGAAAGGTAATCATTATGTTGTTTGAAGCAACTGTTCCAATTATGATATTTATATCTATAATAATTAGTACTATTTCCGTTGTGTTAATAACCTCGCGATCAATTCCAAACACAGTTCGACCCGGAAGTCGTTGTTATTTATCAACAGTTGGGTATATATCACAGATGATGCGCAGTTGAGCGATCTAGTATGCGCCGAGGTAAATGCTGGTACAAAAATGTCGATGACACTGCTCGTACTTTGGAAGTTGGTCACCTGGCGCTCAATTCGTCCTGAATATGTATCTGCAAAGAATAGTAGTATAAATTGGTCATTTCTGTAATGGAGGTGAAGAAATATCGAACGTACACAAGTTGACAACTAGAAATAATTATCTAATATTCTTCACAACTGTTGTTCAATGTCGATGAAAAATACATTACCTCACTCAAGATGGCCCAATTCTCGCTCTCACTATGAACGTTGAGCCGTAACGTTTTAACTTTTCCAATACTCTCGTTTGGAGTGCCAGTAGCAATTCCGGTGCTATCAAATTTACCTGAAAACAAAATATTTGTTACGACCGATCGCAAAATATTGAAAAAATTACGAAGAAAATTTACAACCACCAAAATCTGAATCTGAACCTGAATCTATCAGGATATTTTTTCAGAAACTATGGAGAATATAATCCAACAGGTAATTGTCGTGAAATGATCACCATTGAATAATTGAGGGAGGTATTGATTATATGTGTATATATTGAAACTTAGCTTCTGAGTATATCAAATAATTTAATGATAAGAACAAAAATATCCCACAACACTTATCACGCTTGAAAAGCAAAAAAAAAGAAAAAGGTACGTAATTATTATTCTCAACAACTTCCTCCCAGTAACATGTACATGCGCGTGGTTCACAACAAAATAATCATATGATTTCTCAATATTTGATGGGTAATAAACTCGTATATTAAAATCTACGAAATCAAAATTCAAATGGAAATAACAAAAACTTATGTATCAAATCTTATCTGTTTTTGGATTGGGTTATTTGCTGGATATTGGTAACCCTTTTCCCTATCCTTTATTCTGGATTTGCTCTCCTTCTGGCAAGCACGGTTCAGTGATTGTATAATAACAATTCTAGATTCAGATGACTTGGAAAACCTATGACCCAATGCTAGAACTTTACCCCAGAACCCTAAAAATTTGAATGGAAAACAATTCGTGTATTCATTACCCAAGAATTGGAAATGTAAAAAAACTACATTACCTCTTTTCATGGAAGGAGGGTTCTCTGAAAATCAATGAATACCAGTGAATATATAGTTTTTGTCAGGGCCTTGAGCTTTGTTTTTTTTTAACTGAAATGAAATGGCAGTTGTTCGACACCGAATTTTCCATAAAAAAGCATTATTTCCGCCTACCTCTATCCAAAGTATACATTACCTGGCCTCATTGTAGGGAGCAAAGTCGTACTTTGCCTCACTAGGGAGGAAAAGTAAAAGTGACGTCATGTTACATAATCAATGAAATAATTTATACGGCATTGACAACCTAAACTATATTCTATTATATGAATATAAAGTTTACCGTTTATTTATAGAACAACCTGTATTTTGCAATATGGTATAAATTAGTAGGTATTTTAATTTAACGATTTTTTCATTGATAATTTGTTAGATTCATAGATCCATCCGGTTTTCGAATTTATGACAAATTTTATAGCATGCTATGGTCGTTTGACAGTTTCAAGGTGGAGGCGGAAAAATCATATGTATAACATGGGGGTAAAGTAAGTTTTCCTCCCTTGAATGATTACTGCCCTCCGCTACGCGTCGGGCAGTAAACTTCATTCTCGGGAGGAAAACACTTTCCTCCCTTGTTATAGAAATAGCTATTTCTTACCCAGATTTATTTTAGATCTTTAACTTTGGTGCTATTCAAATCTCCTTCAGGGTAATAGTTTGTCACACTGGTCAATAACAATAACATACATAACGTGAGACAACTGTTTAATATGAAAATTTATGTTGAGATCCCAAAAACTTAGTACGAATTAATAAATCGAATAAACGTAGATTTTCTAGAGACCAATAGACAAAGACTAATTCAATCGTGGGTGTTCTGGTGTTATTCGGTAAACGAAGTAACTTATCCTTTTCCGCTTGAGAAAGCCATTCGATAGCGAAACACGTGTCGCGGTTTTAGAAAAACCTTTTATATTGAATATCATACAATAAATAAACTGTATTAATGAGTTATAAATGATCTGTTTCATTGAAAACATGTCCTTGTTCAACTCCGTGAATATTTCCTCTATATTTGTCTCTGTGTTCATTTTGTTACCGCGCTCTGTAGATATTGTGAAAATATAACAGCATAACAAAGTATTTTCTTTATACTGTTAATGTGTAACAAAAACAAAAAAGACCCAGTACCGTTTCTTTGGTATCCCAGGTTTCATAATTTAATCACTCCTTGTTTCGTTACCCACTTCAGCACATCGAATTCGTATTAATAATTGATAAATTATGATCAAACGATGCTCATGTTAGGAAATCAAACTGATCATATAAATACTCCACACCGTCATTGAAAAAGAAATTTCATAGATTCATATTTTGGTGAAAACGTGTCAGCTGTAGAGGAGAAGAAACGATAACAAATCAAATATTTCTGGGTGAGAATCTTCAACTGTTCCTTAATCAAGTTAGCACGATTCTGCTAAAATTATCAAACCTGACCAAGCCAAATTCCACAGTCATTTTGACGATATTAAATCACACTAATGAACTTCCAAGCAACTCCTATTAATATATTTATAAATCACACCAATTGCCAAATTTATAATATCCTCGAAATAATTTCAGACAGCGCAGAACATTCGACGAGTACATTTCGAATAAAAGATGAAGGTTGACGTGGAATTGATGTTCGAATGTTTGATGTATCTCAACGCACACTATTTTCCAGTTTTGGTCATCAGCGAGGTCTCCATGACCGTGGCAAAGCACATGAGCGTGAAACTTGGTACTCCTCAAATCGACAATGATGCCATGATGTGTTCTACGAGACATATATTCGAACTACTCAAGCTCATTCTGTTCCAAAGGTACAAAGAGAAGCATAGAAGTGAGTATTTCCGTCTAATTGTACTACAAAAAAAAAGATACCCTTTTCTTATCAACTGCTTTGGTTTTTGTATACACATGAAATTCATGAACGAGTTGTACTCAATACTAGGGTTTCTCAAACAAGAGAACTGATATGTGGGGTTCCACAGGGATCCATTTTGGGACCAATTCTCTATGTAATTTTCACAGCGTTTTTCAAAAATGTTGTCTCGTATAGTTATCTACAAATGAATGCGGATGATACTCAGGTGACGTATACCTTCCACCCTTCAGACATAGTGAATGGTTGTCAGAAAATTAGCGAAGACCTTGATAGAATTTTCCAAATATTCAAAGATCATTCTCTCTCACTGAATCCAAACAAATCTGAAGCAATGCTGTTCGGGAGGCGAAATGACAGACTTCTACACCAAAAAAATATTTTGTTACTACCAATAACATGCCTGTACTGTTTTGTGATGTGGTGGGGAATCTTGGGCTCTGGATAGATTACTATTACTCCTTACGGTTCGAAAAGCATGTATCGGAATGCATTCGTAAAAGTATGTTTGGATCTCGAGCAACTTTGCATTTGAAACTTAAAAAAATACTTTGCGAGTCTCTAGTTCTTTCTCCCTTTTCTTATTGCGATACGGTTTATAGCTCTTGTCTTACGGCAACATCTACGCATAAAATCCAGAAAATACAAAACTACTGTCTCCGCTTCATCTATGGTATTCGTAGGCGTCAATCTATCAGTCATAAGCTATGAGAAGCCGGGTGGGGCTGAATATGGGCTTGTTTTATGATTTTGGATTTATAGTTCACTTGATAGAAATTTCAAATTGAAAAACAGTGCACTTTGTTTTAGCTTTCTAAGCATCGTAGTATTCCCGTAATTAGTTATTAAAAATCGAATGTGGTAGGGCGGTGACGTCACGGCCTAGAAATAATCAACATTGCCATGTTATCAAATTTACAAAACCAATTATCAATTCAATTATGGAAGTGTATATGAACCCGTTAACGTTCCAATTAATGAAAAATTTTCCACATGGAATAAAATGTACACGAAAAAACATGTTTTTAAATGAGTTCTACATCTAAAATCAGTACACAAAATCGAAAGATCACAAAATATTTACCTAAACTATGATTTTATGCATTACTTAATAATATACAGTTATGAAAATCAAAATATATAGCGAACTGGATTGAAGAATCATTTCAAATATTCAATTCATTCTACAATCCTCAATCTATAAAACTACAATTTATTATAAAAAAAAGATTCCTACATGCATATCTCTTTTTAATAGTGCTACTAAATTCAAGCATTATAGGCTCGCTTGGGTAATCTGTTGAATCTTCCAAAACTTGAGAGGAATGTTGAATGAGGTCAAGTATAGACAGAATTGATTGGACTCGAACTGATCCAACCAAAGCTTCTGAGGTAATACCATTAATCATATGATAAAATTTAATGAAGTAAAATGTTACATACTTTCAGCAATAGTAATAACTCCAGATAATAAGAGTAGAAGGATTGTAGTTCTTTTTTTTCAATACTTTCACCCATTTTTTTTCTCATCATTTTATCCTTTGGGAACATAAACTCATTATATGAAATAACTCATCTATAAACCAATGCGCTTTCTGTTCAGCACAAGAATACACCATATAAATACTCAAATATATCTCTAAAACACCTTTAAAACACACACAAACTCGATGAATAAACGAATTCTTTCTACGCGAGCTGTCAGCTAGGAAAAAGTTGAAACTCAATGTTGCAAAAACAAGCAGACTGAATCCGATATGACATACATTTTTAATGCCGAATAAACCAATAAACTGTAATATGGGTACTCCATTTTCCTGAGAAAATGAACGATCGATTAAAATTTCCTGTAATTATTCATTCATTTTTTCAGGAATGAAGCCAGCAAACAAATAAATATACAATAATAAGATCGCACGAATCTACGAATTAAGCATAAAAATGGACAATAATATTTGCCTTGATAACTGATATAGTACAAGTAATATCTAAATAGAATTTAAGAAGCTGTATTTTCAAACGATTTTCGAATGTTCATGAACCCTTATGATTTAAATCAATTAAGCATTCATGCTACCCACCAAAAATAAGAAATTCAACGTTACTGGTATATTAGCCATATTGCCATCCAGTCAGCCAGCGCCCTCTGCACTGTAGGTATGCGAAAATAATTTCAAAATGAATGTTGAGCCTAGTTTTGTTGAAGCTGACTCCGACAACTTACCAAGAGTGTATTTTGAAGTGATCGATGAATTTTACTTGAAAAATTTGCAATACTTTGGTACCGAAATGAAGAATGAAACATTGAAACAGTAGGTGGAATATTTAGTAGGTCCCTTTTATTTATATTACATTTTGTATTACACTTTGTATTATATCGAAGAATGGAAAGTTTTGATTTAATTTTCATTTTAGCTCGGCCAAGGTAGTAATGGTAAAATTCAATCCAAAAATAACCTGAAAAAATATTTTTCGGAATGTAAACTAATGATACGGAATATGCAGCAAAATAGGAACCCGCCGAAACCTACCTTTTACAAAAAAAAAACCTTTTTAAATTAGATAATTGTAACAGTTGTATTCACACCGAGTTGACAACAATAACAACAAAAACGGCGTCTGTCAAATTGTATCATTAGATCTGTGATTGGATATTAAAAACTAATACACTTTGCAACTCCGCTCTAGACACGATCAATTTCATTGGTCAACAGACACGCGGCCAATTTAAATTCTTGCTTTTTGCAAATATAAAGAGATCTTGGAACCGATTAGGCTTTATAAGTATAATATACTCCTGTCTCGATCAGTCTATAAGCAAACCAGTATCATTTTCCATTGCATAAAACAAGCCCATTACTACCCAAACTCCCTGCTACCTTTGTGTTTGGCACTGACGTTCACAATCTTAATAATAGATCGAAAGGTACTATAACACCACTAATCCACGAATCATCATTGTTTGAGAGAAGTTTTTGCTATAATACCTATATCGACCACCTACAATACTATGCCAAATGATTTCAAGAATATGAAACTCTCCTCTTTTCGAAAACATTTGTTTGAATTTATGGAATCCTAGAAAGCGGTTATTTGAATCAGCAAATATATCTATAGTTTTTACTCAAATTTCGCGAACTTATTCATCTAGAAATGGGTCCCGTCGCTGAAGATGATTTTTTTATGAAAATTAGGGTCAGTTGTCAACTGCTCCAGAGTCCATTGAGCGAACACAGGTCGTTGTCTGTGGCCATTTACCTTCAGTTCCTGGGTCAGTTAAATAGTGTACAGTTTGTCAAGAATAGGAAAAAGGGTGAAATTTTTGCGGCCTGCGCGAAACGAAGATCTAGAAAGCATTCGGAGGAACAAAGATGCACATTAGTTGTCTTTGCTTAGTGTAGATGTACAGTCTGCTGAATAAACTGTGAAACCAACGTACAAAGTCCCCAGTATTAGTCCATCTCATTATTGAATTCAACATAATTTTGGTCAAGACAGGAAATTTGGGATATGAAGATAACTTGTTTAATTATAGGATCAGTATTCTTTTGAGTTAGAAAATTATGAATAAAGGATATGCCATTAATCGGAGGAATGTTTGGAATAAATAAATAAAACTTGCTTTGAATTGAAACGTTGCTTTTATTTTATTTTTGAATATGTACATTTTTTATTCTTACAAATAAAATAATACGGAGCAGAAAACTATAAAAGGCACAAAACGCAAAAATTCAACCTACCGTCGGGCGCGGCCGATCAGATTGATACAACGCCAATGTTTTGTGCTGGTACTTTCGACTCGTAAACAGTCGGCAGTTACCGTCACTAGTAGCTTCCTACATCTCTTCGTGAAAGCGACTCAGATACGGAGCAGGAGGCTATTGACGACGATGAATATGATGATAATGGATCTAACTTAGATGATAACAATTTTTTTTTGGAGAGAAAAAAATAAAGGAAAGAAGATTATAGTTCGTTCAAAACCACATAATCTCATTCGAAAGTTACCAGGTGTAATAGGTATTGCAAGAATGGCAAAGACTCCTTTAGAATATTGGACTGCATTATAGATGACGAGCTATTGAGAATGATTGTACAACAAACGAATCAATATATTGAAAGTATAAAAGTATTATTCAAACGTGATGGAGATGCCAAACCTATAGACATTATTGAGCTGAATGCATTTATTGTTCTTTTATATTTAGCTGGTGTTCACAGAGGTAATTGGCAAAGTTTGGAAGACCTTTGGGGATCCGACGGGGACGGCATTGAAAAATTTCGACTTGTCATGAACATCAAAAGATTTGAATTTATTATGCGTTGTATGCGATTTGACGATCATCACGATTGATGAAAGAAGAAAAACCGATAAAATCGCAGCAGTTCGAGAACTCTTCACAATGCTGTTACAAAATTCACAGAAGTCCTATAGTCTGGGACAGAATGTAACCATTGATGAAAAACTAGAAGGATTCCGGGGAAGATGCGGTTTTGTACAATACATCCCGAATAAGCCCAATAAGTATGGAATTAAGATATACGCACTGGTTGATTCTCAAGTTTAGTATCTATATAATTTAGAAATATATACAGGATTACAACCTGAAGGCCCATTCCGATTGAGCAATTCACCATCGGATGTTGTTCTACGACTTTGCCTACCTATATATCAGACCGGAGGAAATGTAACTGCAGATAACTGGTTTACCAGTTTTCCATTGATAGATGAGTTGCGAAGTAAAAACCTCTCTTACGTTGGAACAGTAAAAAAAATTAAGTCGCAATTCCACCTGAGTTTCTGCCAAATAACAAAAGAGCTGTTAATAGTATAGCTTGTTTGGTTTCAAGAAAGGGTGTACTTTGGTATTCCAAAAAAGGATAATGTGTGATTTTGGCTTCAAGTTTACATGAAGATAACTCTATCGATCTTGATACCGGAGATAAAAAGAAACCATCCGTAATTATCTTCTACAATAGTACTAAAGATGGAGTTGACACGACAGACAAATTGTGTGCCTCATTCAATGTGGCTAGAAATACTCGGCGTTGGCCCATGGTAGTATTTTTGCTATGTTAAATATTAGCGGAATCAATGCTCAGGTGCTATACTTTGGCAATGGTCAAGATGTTATTCGAAGAAGAAAATTTTTGAAAACTTTATCACACGCATTAGTTTCACCGCATATGGCTCAACGAAGTTTACAGACATCAGGGATTCATACCAGCCTGCAACAACGCCTGAAAAGTATTACGCCAGTAATGCAAAAACAACAAGAAGAAGAAAACGAAAATATAAGAAAACGCAAAAAAGGCATATTTGCATAGGACAAAGGCGATTAACAAAATATAATTGAAAAAAATGCAAAAACCCCATTTGTCTCATGCACATAGAAAGCTTTTGCAATGTTTGCAGAAACATTGACAGAAATACCACAAGATACTATAGATGAGGAGATGGTTTAATGATTTAAAAGTTTTTTTATTTTTTATATTACAGTAAAGTCATATANTTTTATCGACAGTATGATAATCAATAAGAAATCTTCAAAGCAATTCTTTATCAAAACCATCTGAGTTAGTTTTAGCTGCGGCTTTCCTTTTTTTTTATATTTGGTGTCAAAAAAGCAGCGGCTTCTCCATTCTCAATCAATTTCATTTCCTTTGAAATGTGTTGTATACTGCTTAAACTTACGCCAGTTGCCATAGCAAATCTTTCTTGAACTTTTTCAAAGTCCTTTATAGGTTTATTTTCTGCCGCTTCTCGATGCATAAAAAATTACATTGGCTAGAACTTTCCTCGTTTGACTTGTCAGCATTTTACGATTTAGGTTTGATTTAAACTCCATCGTGCTTAAGTTACAATACTCAAATTGTACCCTTTACGCTTTATTTGTGCTCGGAGTGAATACTCCATTAACCCGCGATGCTCATTTCACAACAGACAAATTCGACTGACTGGCCTGTGGGCGTTTTCACTCCTGTCTTCAGCGCACAGCTAAGGGGGTCTCAAATTGAGATTTTGGAACTTTTTTCTATTCCTGACAAACTGTACGGGTGCAGGCCCAAGTCACGACGCGAAATTCGCCAAGTTGTCGTCTGCTAAAGGCCGAGTTCTTATGAGCGACGCGAAATCGAACTGTAAGATATGCGACAAAAAGTATATTCAAAGTGATCGCACTAGAATAAGTCGTTTCAAGGAACATGCTTCATGTAATTAGTTTCGTAGACCAGATATATCAGATTAGAAATGTTTGGAGTCTTTGAAACCTATAGGTCCATAACAACAGGCTTTCAAAATTTCGAAATAAAAAAATGTGTAATCTACGATAGAGGTCTTATTTCAAACAGCCCGTAGCTTACTCTTATACGAATAGAATGAAAATATAAACCAGGAAAATATGTAAAATCAAGATGTTATTACAAACTAACACAATTCTAAAAACTCATTTGATGAACCTAATTTGATCTCCCTCATTACCTGTACTGATGATATATAATTAGATCTAACTCAGATGTAAAATACAGTTTTCTCATTTCCTGATGATGCTGACTTGGTTAATAAAACGCGCGTTGGGGCACAGGGTTTTTGTTCTAGTGTGAGACAAGTATTTTCTTCAGAAGAAATGTCATGTTTTCAAAAGTATGAATAAATCATTTTCCCTATTACTTGTCTTGCAGGATGGGCCTTTTCAAAAATGGATTCAGAAATATTTCCTTCATTCTCAAGTTCATTATATATTTTCTTCAAACTATTGTTTTGGAAATGAGAGGAATACAAACTTGAAAAATTGTTTTTTAATAAGAAAAAGACAAGCGAGTAATTCGATATATTTGAAATTCCAAAAAATTATCAGTGTAAACTCATTTTGTTCAATATTTGCAGAACTGGTAACGACGGCAGTAGTCTTCATGACATTGGTGACATTAGGAACAGTCTACTATACGGTATTCATTCAGTTTCCTACTTTGACGTTGGAAAATATACTTTCATCTTTAACAGTAATGCTAATGACAACAGAAATATTCTTTGGCGTATGGTTCATTACTTGTTACAGAAAAGTGGAATATTACTAGTATGAGTGAAGAATAAAAATATTTTCCGTTTTTTGTCTCATTCCATAGTTTTTTTTTCTATTAGCTGAACAGATATCTCCTGAAAGTTGTTTTTTAACGGAAATGATGCAACAGATATTTTATACGGGGTGTTTCCCGATTGCAGTGAAAAATATAATGGCTAGTCAATAAAAATATTCTCGAACAGTCAAGCGGCGTTGGAAACTCTTGGCTCCTACCGAGCAACGTCTAAATTGGTAGCACATTGCCAAAAACGACTCTCCTCGATAGGAAGATTCAACAGATTGTCTCTAATCTGAATTCCTGTCCATAATGGCCTGGAAGGCAATGAGGCTGCTGACTCTCTTCCAAAGGAGGGTGCTGCAAGCCGCTCTATCAGACTAGAACCTGTCATTGGCATCGCTTTAGGCTTTGCCAAACAAAGATTTAACACCTGGATGGTAAGAACATTTATGGACTTCTGGCAGAATCTTCCAGAATTGGCTCATTCCAAGGCGTTTATTCACCCTTCGAAGCTTGATACAAAACAGTTGTTGGACTACAGTAGGGATGAACGATGTCCAACAAGCCTTCTCACAGGTCACTGTCACTCGAATCATCATATGCAGAGATATCTTCAAGAGAAAGATCAGTTTGATCTTTCTCTTGAAGATGATCACTTGGTGATTTAAATACGTGTCGAGCTATTGACATAACGGTTTGCTGTTGGGAAAAAACTCCAGTAATATTCATTACCACACCAAAGGTTCCAAACAGTACATTTCAAGAACATACATAGAGTTAGTTATCCACTAAGAAAAAACTAGTGTGAGAGCGATGCATGTGATATATTTTTGGATATGAAGTTTGTGGAGATTATATTGTTTCCGGAGTAATTTGTGAAATTATTATGGATCTTCATAAAGAAACGGCCGAGTCAATCAGCAAATTGGATTTATTATCATTGCATTCATTACTATTTTCTCTTCAGATAGGAAAATACATGTGGTTGATTAACATTCTTATTTGATGAATAGTTTTGTTGAAATAAATGTATACACAGTAGGAGCTGAGGTATTTCTACTCACCCACAATAATATACCCATCACTTGTAATATTCGGAGAATTACCCTTCTGACTGACTTCAGCAACTGGTAAGACTTCCACAGTCGTGTTATAGAATTTATCAGATGGATGTTCTGCATTACCACTTCGGAAATAAAACCTATAATAAAAATCATCAGTTGGCTTTGAAAAACATTTTGTATGAAACAGTTGCTAACAGCTTCAAGATCTTTTCAGAAATGGGAATTATTTTAGTGGATACGCAAAATCCCTTTTCTGGAGCCTGCCTATCGTTTTAATGTATAACAGATAGTATAAAAAACACTTCCTAGGATGACATATTGATGAAAATTCATTGTGGACAAAACATACTGAGAATATTCGAAAAAAGTAGCACTGCTCATTGGTATTCTATTCAAAATCAGGAACTATATTCCTCTTAAATTTTTTGAAAATATTCATTTCAGTGAAACTTAATGTTCACCACTCATACTAATTATTTGTGTTTTCTTGTTCAATATTTCATTATTTTGTTAAATTTGTATCTTTAGTCAATTCAGTTAATTCCCATTCATGAACATTCAATATTACTTGGGATGATAATGAAGACAATACAAATTTTGTTCCCCTGACATTTGTCAGGGGACCTGATTACTTTCACCCCAACATTTGTAATTGTGTTCATTTCATTCACAATATTCACTTCAGATTTTGCAACTGTTCATCCTTGGAGAGAATAAAATCATACATCAATTTGAAATATGAATTATTTTTTGACGACAAAACACAAGCACTACAGAAACATCCTCTCTGAGAGCGGTGACCGTGCGAAAAAAAAACAATTCACATTGGATTTGAATCGCTGAAGATTAAATTCATTTGGTAAAACGTAATCAGTAAATGTATTCCTCACAAACGCAGTTCTCCATATGAAAGAGTTTTTAAACAGTGAAGTTCGAGATGTACTGAGTTGAACTTCAAAACGATGAGCAGCCACAGTCCGTTGTGTATTTCTGATATGTACCGTTCTTAGTGGAATTTAATTTGCCAAGTCACTTGAACACCTTCCGTGAAATGTTGCAGACTATCAAGGTTGCAAGTGATGTTCGTGTCTCCAATCAGGCGGATGGCTCTTTTCTGGATGGAATCTAGGTTCAGGTTCAGGGTATGCTTACGACCGAAGTTCCATACATGAGAACACTACTCCAAAGAAGGTCTGATCTGAGCATTATGAAGCATCAAGAGTGGCTTAGGTGTGTACAGTTTTCTGTTTCGGAACAGTGTTCCAATCTTTTGAGAAGCAGCCTTTGCATTTCCAGCGATATGATTGTCCCAATACATATTGGTGTCCATTTTGATTCCCAACAAACTTATCGAAGCAGAAAGCGGAATTGTTTGTCCTGACATTATTATATCCGGTTCGGAGTCATTTATCTTTTTGGAGAAAACCGATGCTTGGGTTTTCATGGCATTGAATTGGACCTGATTACTTTCACCCCAATTCGAAATCATTTCTTGATCCTCATTAAGTCCGGCCGTACACAGACCACATATTTGCAGTTGAGGCAACCACAACATTGTGGTCACGTTGACTGCACTTCGCGGTTGACCCAACCACATTTTTGTGGTCGACTTGCGGTCATATAAACCGCACTTGCAGTTGAGGCAACTGACATCAAAAATTGAATACTGTGAGACCAATATGAGAAAAAGTAAGTCACGATGTACGCGGTTGGGTACTACTGCAAGTTTGTGGTTAGTGTACGGAGGATGCAGCGATGACATCTCGGCGGAGATCAGCAGCAAGTTGACTGCAGACGTCCGTTTTGACTTTTGTGAACGCCCGTGTGCATGTAGTACAGTATTTCTTATGGGCGGCTTGAGTTAGATGGAACACGACTGCAATTGTGTGGTCGATCCGACAGCAAAATGTGGCTCGTGTAGGGGCGCCTTAAGATATGCAACCTTCTGCTGCCGGAGAAGATGTGTATCTGCAGCTTATGTCCCGGAATCCAAATGGAATGGCGTGTGGTGCCGTCAGCAAAGCAGTATATTAGATTCTTGGTTTTTTCAATGAGTCGTTGATATAAAAAAAAGGTTGGAGACAATATGGGTCCCTGGGTAACACCAGCGTTGATGGTAAGGTTATTCGAGAGGTATCCATCGACGATCACTTGCAGGAAACTTTCTTTCAGGAAGCTGGAGAGCCATACACAAAAATGATCCGACATGCCATAGCATCGAAGTTTGTTCAGCAAACCCTCATGCCACATACGGTCAAAGGCCTTAGAAATATCAAGCACAATATCTTGACTCCTCATGTTTCTCGATTGCGTTATTCCAAATGAGGGTGACATACGAAAGAAGGTTGCCTTTTGATTTTTGTTTCAGAAAGCCATATTGATGATCTCTCAAGATGTTGAAGCCTTCCAAATATTTAATGATATGGTGGCTTAGTGCTTTCTCTATGATTTTTTATATCACTGATAGCAAAGCGACTGGTCTATAGTTATTTGGATGGTTTTTCCTACCCTTCTTGGGAATAGTCTAAACAACACGAGCAATCTTACAAACAAGAAGTGAAACGTCCCCTTTTTTGTGAGACAGGTTGAAAAGTCGGTAAAATACTGGTGCGCCTCACCAGGTATGATTTCAATTTGGCTTTGCAACTGTTTGACTTCAGTAGCCAACTTTAACGTTGATTGAATCTTCTGCTGGCCCAATTAATGGTGTCTCCATAGAGGAGATATCATCTATATGAAAAATATTGGTTTGTATACTGGTGAACAGTGAAGGTATGAGAAACATCATACTGTTGAAACATTGAATGAACTTCATCATCTTTTGCACAAGACCCTCAACGTTATTAAATTTTTTTTGTTGATTTTCACCCTCGCTTGTTAATAGCAGTCAGTGAGTACCAGACAAAGGATTTCTTCATTTTTCAGAAATGTTTTCTTGGTAACGCTTCCTTTCATTTTCATTTGACCACCCTGCATGTTAGCTCTGTCAGTTACTTCAATAATCGTTATTGATAGAATGAAATGTTATCAAATATGTGGTGACTGAAGTCGAAAGAGGTTAATGGAAAAGTTATTGTGAGAATTTTTTTCTATCCGAAAGAACTCGTGACTGATTCTAGATGATGCAAATGAGTATGCGGTTGACCCCCGGACTAAAAGGTAATTACCTCTTGACGATAATAGGCGTCATGAAATTAAATACCAGCTGATCACCGGGCTGCGGTAGGAGGCCCCAGAAGAAGTTTTCTCCGAGATAAGCATGTTTCAGTGTGTATTGCTTGTAATGCTTGATTCCTGACGTGACTTCCGCTTCTGGGTTACTATGTGGGAAGAAAAGAGCAACTTTGCCGAATTGTTTATCCTGGAAATTGAATTATTCAGATTCAGGTTTAGTTTTGTTAGGCGGGGCAGCTAGCAAAAAGTGCAATTACTTGATATTCAATTTTGAACAACCAGATATTTCTTTAAATATAAAAATTACTGGAGTTTTTTTCCAACACCAAACCGTTATTTTAACACCTCGACACATCTTTCAATCACCAAGTGATCATATTCAACAGGAAGATCAAACAGTTTGATCTTCCTCTTGAAGAAGAAACACGTGTCGAGGTGTTGAAATCACGGTTTCGTGTTGGAAAAAACTTCAGTGATCATTACTACAGCAAAGGTTCCAAACAGTGCATCACAAGTAGATATTTTTTTGGATGTAAATACTTTAATTGACAAACATACAGTACAGTATAGTACTGCTTTTGAGTGAATGAAGGAAGGATAAAATGTACTGTACATTAACAGAAACCAGTTTCTTCAACAACCTTGGTTACTAAGTTGTGAATCTCATTCAATTAACTATTCAAAACCAGTTTGAAATCGACTCAGCAATTCAAAAAATGGGACCATTTGGAATATATCAGTGCTTGGAATGTTCCCCACCCATTCAATAAATGTTTGTGGGTTATAATCATATTATCTCTGATTCTACGAGGTATAAATACAGAGTGAGCCAAGTTGAACACTTTCAAAGGGAAACTCTAGTTTTCTAACTAGATACATGAAAACTTTTTTATAACAGACTCAATGGTAAAAACCGCATATCGATATCTATCATTGTTTCTGAGTTACAGTTTGTTTTTCAAAATGTGCATTTTTGAAAAGTTGTTTTTGCTGCCAAATATTTCTTATTTATATGAAAACATTTCCAAAGTACTTTTTTACGTAGAATTCGATGGTGTGAAAAACTTATTTTGTCAAATGAGACATCAACAGTTATTGATGGAAAACTATTTTTTAATCAGACACCCTGTATATTTCTGCATATTTCAATAAAGCTTGAAATTACCTTTCGAAATATGTAGCACACTCGATGTTTTGAAATACAGAGGTTTTAGGTTTTTTCATGTAGACTTTGAAACGCACACTTTGATCAAGTAGGCTTTGGAAGACGAGGCGATAAAACAGAAAGAAATCATTCAGTAGTAGCTATCAGATGTTGAGAAAGTTTTTCATAGCAGTGATAAAAATGCATAGTTTCAATAAAACTAATGAAAATTCATACCATATTTATTACCAATAAATGAAACTTAAATAATAATAATAATGATGAAGAATAAGCAATAAAATATATTTCATCAGAAAAGGTGTTTGAAATGTCTATCATCTTCCTCGTCACACAGCTGATACCTTTTTTGCACATTTTTTGCTGAATTCATTAGTTCGATAGGAGTGAGAGAAGCAAAACTTTGAATCACTACCGCTTTCAATTCGTATCTAGAATTGGTCAGAAATTTAAAAATGAAATTTTTCAACGTTCTCCAGAGGTGAAACTCCATAGGCATTAGGTCCGGCGACTTGGCCGGCCAACCGTTGGGTCCTTGGTTTGCTATCCAATTATTATCAAAATTAGTAGCAAAAAAATTGGTGACAATTGCAGTGTTCTGAGACGAAGTACCCTTTTGTTGAAAATATACTATTCTGAGCTACATTTGTGGCAATTCAATATTTTGCCTTGAAATTTCTAAATCCTTCTGAGATGTGAAAGTGTAATTATAAATGAACATAATTAATTCTACTCCTGAAAACGCCTATCCATACACTATATGCAAATCTTCCTACATGACAAAAAGCCATGTTGCGTTCAACATTTCCTGGTCAGAGTTGATGAACTCTTCTGGTCCTGCATGGCTTGAATTTGTGTTTTATCAAAATCTTTCTCCTAACGTTAGTTCTTGGTAGGCCTGTTGATATTTTCAAATTTCGCGTTGACGTTTGGGATTTATTTTCAACAGCTCCTAAAACGACTATTTTTTCCAACTCCTTCCTCATCACTATTTAATTCATATAATTTTGGCCTTTTCTTTTCAAACTGGCCACCATCAATAAGGTTATGTCGCAATCTTGCGATGATGTCTCTAATAGGTTGTCTTCTCTCCTACCTTTCGAGATACAAATTGCTTGCTGCTTCCGCATTTCCCCGTTTTTTTCATAATTCTCATACTTCATTGCGAATGTGTTTGGAAAATGAAGAGAAACAACTAATTGACGGGCGTCATTATTGCTTTAATCAAAATTTGAGAGATATCAGTAAAGATTTGCATTCTGTTTTATAATCATCAAAGTGTGCGTTTCATAGTCGACATGAAAAAACCTAAAAGATCTGTATTTCAAAGATGAATTTCAAAGATAGTTGTATATCAACAACTATTGATATCTCACGTCAAAAGTGCTTCGGAAAGTTTTTCATAGAAACAATATATTTTTGAAAAGAAAAAATAACAACTTTTCGAAAATGCACATTTTCACAAAAAATGCTGTAAACGATGATAGAAATCAATATGCAGTTTTCACCATTACGTTTCTTATAAAATTTGACACGCAGACACAGCCATCAGTTTTCATCTATCTAGTTTAAAAACAGAAGTTTCATTTAAAAAGAGTCCAATTTGGTCTACCCTTTGCACTGTACACTATACACAGTAATTTTTATGGAATTCCAAACTGTTTGTAGAACTTGATTCCAAACCCGTCATTCATTTAGTTCGAGTTGAATTTGAAAAGCGGTTTTCACCTAAATCCATCAAATTATCATTCAAGAGAGTAGCTTGGTACTAAAAACGTTGGAAAAAATATTTTGTTTTTTTTTGTATTGAGAATGAAATATGATTGAATATAATCCAAAATGATTCCATATTGACAGTAACATGTTCTACCTCATGTTAGAGCTGTTTTTAATGAAATGGTTTGAGTTGGGTCTCAAATTGATGGCGCTAGAGCTTGTTAAATGTTTTTTTCTAACAGCCCGATGGTATTTTTTGGGTATCATCCTCAGGATATGCTTACCTAAGAGCAATACTTTACATATGTGAGCAATATTATACAGATATAGGTTGGCCCTTGTGAAGTAATCGAAATTACTTAGGTATGTAAAACATCCTGGATTAGAATAGTGTTTAAGACTCTACTTATGTTATTAATGTTTTCGGAATTGTGTGTCCTGACATCATAATGTTAGTGATTTCAATTACAGGTGTCATTTGTTAAAGAACTCGGTCAAGCGTAAACACACTGTATGTTTTAGGTATTTCCATAGGAATGATAGAATTGTTTTTACTAGTTTTATATAACTAGTGTAAACACCATTGGAACATAGTACCTAGCTGGTATAAAATCTGAAGATTTTTTTCATTAAATCCAGGGAATTTTTATTGACCAGATGAAAATATGTTACACAATGATCAAGTTTCAATGGTGAGATTAAGAGATGGTTGTTGTTTCATTAGCAATGAATAATTTAATTTTCATTTGATGAATATAACATTTTTTGTGTTTTGAATAGAATATAGTATATTGGAAAAGAGTAAGTTTGCGAATTTTTGGATACCACCCTATATGCACTCTTTGCTAGCCACTAGTATTGTTATTTTATTCTCATCATTATTTATCAATAGTTATTAACACCTTGTATTTTAAACCATTGGTTATCGAATTCATAGATGATTTTTATACTTTTTTGAAAAGATATACAATTGGGAGAGGTGAGATTTGAGAACTTTTTGAAGTCTGTGAAAAGAGGTGCCCAGGGGGGGAATTCACCTCTAGAAACGTTACTGATATGAGGGGAAAGTAAGTACTTGAGTCATAACTTCGAATTGAAATGAGCTTCAATTTTGCAAAAGAGTTATATATTATTACTTGATAGTCTACCATTGGGGTCTATAAGTATTTCGAAGATTTCAACAGAAGAGAAGAAGGTGTACTGGTCAACAGAACGTGGTATTCAGTACCCAGGGAGTAGAATACAATTTCGACCAACTTCCCACCAGTAGAATACCTGTCAACAACCTGAATCAATAAAAACAAACTAGTGACAGTACGGACCAATCAGAACGATCCAGCAATAGTGCGGACCAACCGGGAGTGAGTATTTGCTTAGCCACACCTTCGGACATTATAGCGATATGCATCTTCTCTCCCTAAAGCATTCCTAATAGTCGATTTCAATTCTCGCCACACCCAATTCGGAGATTCCAACTCCAATGCCAACGGCCGTCTACTAGCCAACCTTCTTCTAGAACACAACTTTTATAGAATTCCCTGCCCTGACCCGACGTTTCTGAGTCTATCATCGACCACATCTTGTGCTCTGAGAGACTGACAGAGATGGTCGATGAGCTGGCCTATATCGGAGACACTATCACGTCGGATCACCTCCCCCTGATAATAAAAACCTCCTTGAACTTCCCTACTCCCTCCACTCCTGAAACCATTTCATACAGAAACCATAGATACACAGACGTCAAACAATTCCAACTTCTCGTTAACCAAAAACTATCTACTCTTGACAATCCTCCACTGAACCACTCTAGACAAATTGACTAACAAATTGAATCAATTCAAAAAATTATCTCAGAGTCCGACGACCTATCCACTCCTACTACCACCCGACGAATAGATCAATCCCCACTTCCCCCTTACCTCATTAACCTCATCAAAAATAAACGCAAACTATATAGAACTTTCGTCCGTACCAGGGATCCTGTCCTTAAAACCGAGTGGAACCGTCTTAACGCTCGTATACGCCTCCTCATCAACCAATTCACCCAGAAAAGGTGGATAGAGGAGACTAAAAAAACTAGATTACCGAGATGGAATGGCTTTCTGGAACAAATTCAAAGTCCTGAGAGGACAAAAACGGAAAACCGACAGTCACCTGGTGATTGACGGTAACATCATTTCCACCCCTCCCGACGAAGCCGAAGCCTTCCGTGGAAATCTCGAAAAAAACCTTCCGTCTTTCTAAAGACCCACACTTCGATAACCTATTTCTAAACCTCATTCACCAACAGGCGCCTGCGCAGTTGGGCAGGCACCCAGGTCAAATCCCCCTCGACGCCAACTGTCCCTTAAGATCCCCATTCAGCGAGGAAGACATCCTCAACACCATCCACAGTGGTGGAAATACCGCTCCTGGACCAGACTCGGTTAACCGCCGTGTTCTGAAAAACCTCCCCGCCTCAGCAATCCCATTCATAAAACACATCCTAGATGCGTGTCTCGCACACGCCTACTTTCCAAACGCCTGGAAACAGGCTAACACAATTCTAATCCCTAAACCCCACAAGGATCCTACTAATCCCGACTCCTACAGACCCATCAGCTTGCTTAGCTGCCTTGGAAAACTGCTTGAACGATTGATGACTAACCGTTTGAACGACTTCCTCACACTCCACAACATTATCCCTCCCTATCAACATGGTTTCAGGAACGAACATTCTACCCAGAACGCACTAGTCGAACTACACACCCACATATCCCAAAATATCAACGCATCTTTTTGCACCAATGCAATCTCCCTAGACATCCAAAAGGCTTTCGACAAGGTCTGGCACGCGGGCCTGAACTGGAAGCTTATCCAAATCAATCTGCCTCATCATTTTATCCGACTAGTAGCTTCCTACTTATCCAACCGACATATCCGCGTCAAAGTCGATGAAGCCTTATCCACCCCTTTCTCCCCAAAAGGCGGAGACCCTCAGGGATCAGTCCTCGCCCCTTCCCTATTCCTCATCTATGTACATGATGTTCCCACAACCCATAAAATCCTGCAATACGCCGATGACACCATCCTATACTCCTCCGCCCCCAACATTACAAAGCAATGATATACTGTACGCTTCCTCCGAGACTGTCCCACCGCATCCTTACGACCGAAAGAAGGATACTACGCAACATACACAACCTGCACTACCGATACTTTTCCCTACACTTATACAACCTCATAAATACTACACCAATCAACCAAAGATTTCAGGAACTCCGAGGATAATATGCGACCAGGACGATGAGCAGCAACAACACCAATGCCATCGACACGCTCACATCGCCATGGATCCCCCGTGGAGGATCCCGAAGGAAACCCAGGAAAAAGCTCCCCTTTCCCCCAGCCAGACCCCTGGGAGCAATGGAAGACCCACCGGAGCCGATCTAGGACATCCTAGAGGATTTCCCACTGGGATACAGATAGCGGATACCTGCAGCAGCGTCCCGGAAAGAACCGAAACAAACACAACCCCGGCCCAAAAAACCCGTACCGAGTCCCAACATCTGGACCATTGACCACCGCAACGAACCCGGACTACCACATGGATTAACTTGAAAACAATGAAGAAAACTGGAACACAAAAACAACACAACACCAACATAAAACACAACACACACACACAACTCACTCACCCTGAAGAGGCATAAGCCTATAGCAGGGTCCTACACAAACACATACACACACAAAAAATGGTAAATAACTGTAAAACTTGTAATATACGATTTTCATTCATTCATTCATTCATTCATTCATTCGGACATTATAAAAAGGTGTGAACACTTCGCTCGACAGTCAGTCGTTGTCGAGTCAGAGATATATCCTTCGTCCTCGCTGTCATTTCAACTGATAATATCTGCGGCAATCATAGTGCAGAAATAAACCGTCAATGTATGTCGAAAAGAAAAATACTTTTTGTCTAAGAATCATAGGGAATATCTATGAGCATATATGAGCTTGGACATCACAAACTGATGAACAGATATCAAGTAATTTAATCTTTGGAGCAAGTTTCAGGTTGATGCCTTTTCTGGCTCCGTAGAATCCTGAGTACACAGACTGACAAAAAACATATCAAGAAGAAACTCGATAGAAACATGATTAGATAGGAAGTCATTGGGATGGAGGTAGCAGTTGATCGGCTTGTTGACGAANTGAAATCTGTAGTAGATTGTCCCAGAATAGTATCTACTGATGCAATCCCCAATAAAATGCGTAATTATTTTCCATTCTGCAGAATATCAGGAGTTAGTTCTCACCGAAAATAACACTAGTGCTCCTCATGAAATCGATTGAAATTTCTGTGTTCAAAAGATTTTATAATGTCTGTGAATAATCTACCCATCTAAAATATCCGGAAAACTTTCTCATCGGTTCATTTGGAATTTGAAGTCTGCCACAAAAATAGTTGAATTTCAGTAGAATGAAAATGAAGAAGGTTATTGGAAAAGTATACTTATTACTACCGTGATATATCTTCAATTGAAGGTTTAATACATTATAGGTACACGATAATCCTTTTCTTTTGGAAAAAAATATCCACCTAAAATACTTGCTCCGTGTTATGGGTTTTCGGTCCTCACATAGATTATTTCCAGAACGTTTCGGCAAAGTCCCATTTGCCATCTTCTGTTGATGTCTTGAGTTTGGAGCCAGTTTAGTTCCATAACGTTTCGGCAAAGTCTCATTTGCCGTCTTCTGGTGATGTCTGGAGATTGGAACTACAATATTTCCAAATTCCAGACTGTCAGATGGCAAATGAAACTTCGCCGAAACGTTGTGGAAATAATCCTTGAGGATGAAAAATATAGAATGCGGAGCGAAACCAGGAAAAACAGCTAATCATATTACTGAAAATTAGTTGTTGTCTCAAAGTGATAGGGAAACATTATCATTTGTAAGTCTTAAAACCCCAAATCATCCAAAAAATTCAAACAAATTCCTAAAAACATATATTACAAACATTCCTATGAATTAAATTATTTTCTCTAATCGAAGCAAGTTCGTTCGCAGATGACCGTTATAATAATTTCATTGAATAGACAGGAATATGATTAATGGCAATAACTTGTTCTCAAGGAAGAACATTGATTCATTAAACAGCTGTCTGGGAGATTATATAACCAATTAATCCAAATGAATTATTCGAAATGATTTATTGTACACAGGATCGGTGGAAGGGTTTTATGTGTAGAGTAGTGAGGAGGTATAAGAAATAAACCTATAAAAATATTGAATTTTCCTCAGTTTCCATATTCCGCCCTAAAAAAATGTAAATCGATTCTATCGATAATATGTAACTACTTGGTAACTAGATAGTGACATGATCTGTCCTCAATGAACAGTGATGAGTCTAGTTACAGCGCTTTCATCTCATTCGAAATCCGACAAAAGCAAATTTTACTTCAACTCTATCATGTCAGTAATATAAGGAAATTAAGGAAAAATGGACAACTTTTTCTGAGACAAACAGCTGTGAAATATTATTTGAGTTTCAATAAAAAAAATTCACTTGTACAACCAGAATGAACATGACTTGAGCTCGAGGTTTTTCGAAAGCCTGCATGAGATTAGCCAAAGTCTATTCTACCATCACCTTGGAGTAACCATTCCGTTGAAGGTCATTTTCGAGCGATTCTTCTCTTAGTCGATTGATGGTAGTTGGATTCCTGGTTCAGATACTATCCCATGTGAGTGGGGTTTCCGTATACATATGTTTCCCATTTAGTGTCCTCTTCACCAATACGTTTAAGAATGGCAATTCGTTGTGGACTTCCTTCTCCATTGTGAATGTGATGGACTTACGTTGTTGATGTGCTTCAGGAAGGTGTCTAGTTTTGCATTCCCATGGTTCCATATTATGAAGATGTGGTCCACATATCACAACCAGACTCGAGGCTTCTTGTGGGCTTCTTCAATGGCCAGAGTTTCAAACCACTTCATATAGGCTATAACCGGTGAAAGTGGCGATCCCATTGGCAGTCCCTCATCTTTCGTAAAGAATTCGTCCTTCAGTTGGAAGTAGCAGTTTCGTATACAGCATCCTAGTAATTCCATGATTACTTGTAAGTAAGTTCTATCTTTCAGGTTCCTATCTTCGGATAGCTTCTTCTATATGATTTCAAGTGCCTCTTCGACAGGAACGTTTGTGTAGAGGCTTTCTACGTCGAAACTGATCAGTGGATCCTGCTCTTTGACTTCGATTGCCCCTAGTAGTTCGACAAAATGCCTTTTATATTCTTTCAAGGATTTCAAATCAATTTATATAATATCAGACAATGGAAGTCCGAACAAATGAAATACACCACAAAACATTGTCGAACACCTTCAAAAAAACGTCTTATTGTTTGTTTCAGAACAAATATAAAATAAAATATAATCGATGATTTTGTCAGGTAGAGGTGAGCCATTTTGGACTGCAAAGCTCAGTTGAATGGGATCGGGCAAAAATTTTTTTTTTAATATGTGGAGGAACGAATTTTCAACAAGATCTCAGACCACATGTTACACAAATACATGTTCGATATAAAATTCGCAGTTGTAGTTTCAAACCGCAAAGAGTGGAAAATCAGTAGCGATCCTGGGAATATGCTTCCAAGCTAAAGTATTTGCAATCTTGCAACTGTGGAACAGCCCCAATTTGAGCCAGATCCACAAGAAATATTAGGAGAACTGAGAAAACACACCCAAAAAGTCACACGGAAAAACCTTCATAAAGAGTCTGCCCGAGACAGAACCGAAGAACTGCTTCAACAAAGCAGGGATCAACTTGAAACAAATATAGCGTTACTTACTGGGTCTGAGCATCTGAATAAAATGAGGCTGCACAACGAAAATATAAACTGCAGGCAATGTAACAAAAGGACAAAGACAGTTCGTTATATTTTATGCGAATGCGAGGCAGTGGCTCTCAGGAAGCAAACAATGTATGGACTACCCAGGAGAATATACTACTACAGACCACACTAATATTAGAATGGGAAGGATGGGAAAAAACGCAATGAGCTTATGAGGGTGCAGTGTTTGGGAGATATGGACAAGTTGGACGGCCCCCAAGAANATAAAGTGATGTTTTTAGATTGTGCACCATTTGGGAAAATGTTGGGATTCTAATTGATTGGCGAGTCTTCATGAAAAGGCAGTTTTTCGACAACCGACTTTGTTCATCCCAAATTCTGAATACAATGATACAGATCTTCAAAAATGTACAAAAATTAATATACTCACCTTCTTATTCCAGTTGCAAATTTTTGTGGTGATCAAATGGTCCAACAGCCAGTCCACTGGTTTATCGTTGAAAAACATTTGGAAGAATTGAATCAGCCACGGTAATTCTGCACTTTTAAACATTTTTCCTGAAAATTATATAACTCAATTTCAAATAACATTTCTATCTTTGAATTTTTTAAGGAACATCAACAAATAATGACATCTGTTGATGATACATGAAGCAAAATAGTTCAGAAAAACTAGTTATTTACCATAAATATATTGATGGAAAACACAATTTTCATTTAATAACAAATCAAGTAACAATAAATTGATGGATGTACAATAAACTATTGTATTAGTTTGAAAATGTCCTAATAGGATGAAACTGCAGTAACNCAAAGCCTTGAAACTGAAGAGTCCTACGCCTTAAAACGAGGAGAAGTATCAGATGGTTGCACGCGCGTATCTACCTTATATCGCCAGGGTCACAGAGAGAATTGGAAAACTCTTGGAAAAACACAACATTAAAACTGTTTTCAAACATACCAAGAAGATACAACAAAGCCTCAGGTCGGCTGAAGACAAAAGGGACCCACTATCAGCAGCAGGGGTTTATCGCATACCGTGCACTTTTGAAAAGGTATGCATCGAAACCACCAAATGATCCATAGGAACAAGGCTGAAAGAAACTGCACACTGGGTCAAACAGACAAGTCAGCTGTGGCAGAAAACATACTCAGTGAAGAAAACCAACCATATAGACATAGTGAGTTGAACCAAATCCTTTGAGAATTGAATACACAACGACACATTTCAACATTTAGTTTTCACTTGAGAGGGTATATTTTATAGGAGAGATAATTTTTGGTAAAGTTTTTGGCTTTCTACTTCTCCATCTTGATATATGTGAATGATATATGTCAATGATATCTGATTCGATTCCACGTATGTTTGGAATACAAAATGAATAGAGAAAAGTGTCTTTCGTATAATTGAGCGTTCATATAGAAGTATTTGTTTCGAAAGTTATTTTTTCGTATAATTCAATATTTGTTTAGAAATAGCTGTTTGTAAAGAGTGTATTATGAGATTAATTGCTTTCTTTCTTCCTTTGAAAGATTCCCACATGTTTTGTATCAGGATGGAGAAGTAGAAGGCCAAAACTTTCTTTCCCAAACATTTTTTTCAAATAGCTGCGGGGCTTCAAACATATAGCAAGCGCTGATTCTATGAACTTACCAATGAATCCAAGCTGACAAAAATCCAAAACAAACCATGGCTCTTGTCTAGCAATTTTCTCGATAGCGAACTTCTTCATGATGGTAACATAAGACGGTTTGGCTAAAATATCATCCTCTAGCTGAACGTAGAACGTACCTTAAAACAAACTTTCGGTAACTGAACGTGGCTTTTGAGTGACTGTCTAACTTTTGGCGTTCGTAGAGAAACACACGTCGAGAAGAGTGTTACAATTATGCTATTTGGGACTAGTGTTCTTAAACAGTGCGGACGTGAAAAATTTTTTCTATTTTAATTGGACAAAAGTTTTGTCAAAGCAACATTTTTTTCCGTTTTCACCCGTTTTGAATTTGATTTCAATTATTTATCATCATCATATTCATTTCCTCACCACGGTGTTTTCTGAAAGATTTTTTCTTTGTATTCGATTAACAATATTCGGATTGCGATATTACTGTGCTCGCCTCCATTTGTGACTATATCGCACACCCCTCGTATACAATATTCCGGCAAACGGTCCAAGTGATGCATGAGATGGCGGTTGCTGTGAAATGTCTTGAGAGTAACATTATTGCCTAGCAGGATGTGTGACTAGAAAACATACGATATTCGAATTTCTCAAGGTGAGCACAGCTCGGTAATATCCTCCAAAGCTCGATGGACGTTGTTCACAGTTGGTACCTGAGGGAGCAGATCTGTTAACCCCAATAAAACTATGATAATCTCCTTCATCAGGGAGGACGATCTAACGCCACTTTCCCTCAATGGTGAGATCATTCCTTTTGGAATGGAGGTGAAATATCTTGGCATTGTCTTTGATAAAAAACTCACCTGGAACGCCCATTTGAGAAAATTTTTACAAAAAGCTAGTCTGTTCCTATGGACATGTCGAAGGATTTGTGGTTGAACTTGTAGTTGAGGTCCCAAACAAATCCATTGGATCTATGTTATGATTGTTAGATCAATAATCACTTACGGTGCAATTGCCTGGTGGCCGAAGGCTATACAGAAAACGGCCCAGGCGAAGCTCTCTGGCTTACAGAGACAGGCTTGTCTGGCCATTAGTGGTGCCATCAGTACCACACCGTCAGCGGCAATGGAGATCCTTCTAGATCTATCTCCTCTCCACATTTTTCGGAAGAGAGAGGCTAGAAGGACTTCATATAGACTCGTGCACTGGCTGACACTGGAAGTCACAGCATTCTAGAAATGACCTCTGACTTCATGCCTCCAACTGTAAACTACGAAGTGCCTTATGAAGTATTGTTCCCGAGTAGAGGACTGAATCCTTCGGGAGAAGGAAATATTAGGAGCAAATAGTTGTTGGTTCACAGATGGATCAAAAACAACTTCCGTTTCTGGTGCAGATGTCTAACAGGCCTTTTTAAAGGTCACTGTCATTTGAATCATCATATACAGAGACTCGCACTGTCTGTGTGGAAATTGATGAAACATCAAAGCACATATTTCGTGCCTGCCCCGCTGGGGCCCAATCAGGTTTTTAGAGTTCGACAGAGCCGTTCCTTTACCATCTGACCTGAAAGACCACTCAACATACAAACAAATCGGCTACTTTGAGAAAATGAGTTTATTTGTTCGAGTGTGAATAGGTGTGAGCCACAAAAAACCCTTGCGGGTTGCGATGGAGGGTCAAATAAACCCATTCACCAACCTAACCTAATAGTTCGGTTCAATTTGAAATATTTGATAACTCCATTTACCAAAATCACGCAAAAGGACCATACTTAAATTCATGTCACAGGAAATACAGGCCACTTACATTGATACTCAACATTTATAGTGATTACACAAAGGAATTCCCTTCCAGTTCCCTATCCAATACAGTTTCATTTTTGGAAAACAAATCTCACGTTCCTGCAGTCGTATTTTTCAAAAGTATGCAAACAAACAACAAATAACAATCTCAATAAAACTTTGTTGAGCCTTCTCCATTTCATCCCAATAAATTTTTAGAATATTCACCGTCTACATCCTGATAATGATGGAATATGTTTACAAATTCATAAATTTCAGACTTATTCTGGGGTAATTTAGTGAGTTATTCTATTGGACTGTTTATTCATGAAATAAATATTTATCTGAGAATAATTTAATATACTGCCGGACCGTTTATTCATGAACATAAATCAACCGTACACCATTAAAAGTGAGAGAGAATGAACATCGAGATTACATCAGAAGTAGACAATTAATAGGATCAGAATTGTCAGAACACATATCGAAATCAAACGGTGAACAACGAGTGAAATGTAACACGACGAGAATCTGGAGAGACGTATATCTGAAATAGTTTTTTAGAAATTATTCGTACCTACTTGGTACTTGGCTACCCAACTCGAAAAAAGGTATGGATAAAGTGGCGAAATGGCAAAAGACTAACTATTAGAAAACACCTTGAACCTTCTACATTGAATGTTTCAAAAGTTTACTAAATATATTGACGCATTGTTTTGACCTTTGACCTCTGTTTAAGAATAAAATGAATTAAAGAAAAATATTGCAAGATTCATTTCATTTCTTTGAATTCTGAGCAAGAGAGCAGAGACGAAAAATACACACATCGCCAAAATTCTTGAACCTCCCTCGCAAATTGTAAAACAAAATATCTATCATGGCTGGTTTTTTGTACATTTCATCTTTATTTCTTTCACCTGTGCTAGCTAGGCATGCAAAAATGTTTACAAAAACAATTTCCTCTAATTTTAGATGCCATTGTTTAAAAAGTGGTTCATATCGATTTAGCGTGTTTAAGTGATTGTTGAGTTCTTTATGCAATTATGCCTGGCAATAAAATTTCAGTGTTCCATAGAGCAAGAATAGTGGTTTTGCATGATGAGGATCTGCTGAATCATCAAATCGCAGATAGACTGAGGATTCCCTGCGCTTCAGTTATCCGAATAGTGCATTTTCACCAGGAAACTAACAGCGTTGACTGGATACTTAAACTGGGCGTCCTACGGTAACTAACTATCTAGCAGGATATGTACGTCGGAATCGAACCATAACAGTGAGCCAAGAATGACAGCCTTCTGCATCTGTGCGGATAAGATTTCTGCCTTATACCGGTGTCTCGTCAATACCGTGAGAGTGCCGTAGATGGTAATATAGCACTCTTAGGGCCGCGTTATGTCGATGGATATAGGCCGAGACCGCATACAGCGTTGACTGGAGACTTAAACTGGGCGTCCTACGGTAACTAACTATCTAGCAGGATATGTACGTCGGAATCGAACCATAACAGTCTCTGCAGTCGGAACTCATTTGGGAAGAACGTTTGGTCGATTAATTTTCAGTACCACAATGCAGCGAAGACTTGCTAGAGCCACTTTTCAATCCAGGAGGTCATTAAGAGTACCTAGGCTATTTTCCTGACACATAGCCATTCGTCTACAGTGGGCACAGAAACACAGAGACTGGATTCTAGCTCAGTGGAAAAATGTCCTTTTATTTCGAACGAAACCAGATATGGTATAGTTAATCATAGTCGGCGACACAGAGTTTCGAGAGGACCAGGGCGACAAGAAATACTATCTATTGCTAGACAAGTAATTTCATACCAAGGGGAATCAGTAATGTTTTGAGGAGGCACAGTGCATGGTCGTCGTACGCATCTTATTCACATTCCACATACTATGAGGGGATATATATGTTCGAAACCATATTGAACTCATTATATATTCTCTCTGAAATGAAATTGGAGCTAATTTCATTGTCATGGATGACAATGCTAGGCCCCATCACACGAGAATAGTACAAAATGCACTAGATATTGAGAATATTCAAAGATTAACGTGGCCAGCAAATTCACCAGACATGAATCCCATTGAGCACATGTGAAATTTCATTGAACGAACAATCTCAAACAGAATCAATCCTCCTAGCACCCTCCCGGAACTCACACTTGTGGCACAAGAAGAATGGAACAACATGCCAATGGATACCAATAACGCCATTATTGTTTCCATGCACAGGCGAGTTAATACCTCAGTACAGAATAGGGGAGTACACACCAAATATTATTGCACTTTTGATTTCGCTCTAAACTGGTTTTCTTCTACATTTCAGATTCTGGAAATCATTTTATTATGCACTACTTTTTGTTTGTATTTTTGTTCTTGTTCAGTTAAAATTAAATTCAGCCAATTTGCGTTGGTTACATAACCAGATTAAATGTACTTTGTAATACACTTCTTGACTTATGCTAATAGTGTCTCACTTAGACAACAAAAAGGGGGTCCAAGAAGTTTGGAGATGTGTGCACTTTGAATTCACGTAGTTAATTAATCGAGGGAAACTGAACAATTTACGCTAGCTACACCTTTATGAAGTTTTCCATCACAATTTCAACTTTTTTCAGATGATCTGAGATGAAAATTCCCAGAAACGTCGATCATTAAAACTCTTTCCATTTGGCAGAAAAAACTACAACACCCTTTTCCAAAAAGTACATACCTTTAAACATAAACTTTATACGACTTTGATATCTTGCCCCTTTCGAAAATTAGGAATTTTTTACATCCACACTGCATAACAACTTGCATTTATATTGACTGGCAAACCTTTCAGTACAAGACAACAAACAAGTGAAATGTTCTCAAAACTCATTTGCAGTCATTTGGGTGACTATAAAAAATGCATACTGACCTTTTGGTTGGCAATAAGACATCAGAAAGGCAAAATCCAAATTTTGTTTCGATCTCCAACGCACTCTTTCTGGAGGATCTCCTAGTGACGGCTGAAGTTTATCGAAATTTGGGTAGTAACCAGGAGAGGGAGCAACCACCTCTATCAAACCAGAATCAACTTGTACAGGAAACCTGAAAATGTCAAATGATGATTGCATTATTTTGTGCGTATGAAAAAATGAAATAATATTCAATGAAGTGATATTGGTATGTTATGTTGTTTATTGACCTTCTCTATTCATACCCAAGGTCACATTAATAAAACGAGATCAATGTCAATGCTGACTTACACTGAATCAACATCCGGCAATACGCTGTTCTTCATCACTTTGTTCCATTTTAGAATAAGTGATTAGTTATTTTCTATAAATAACGTTCTACGTGGCGGAATGAGTTGTAGGTCACATCAAAGTACATTATAGTTTACATTCTTCAACTCAACGGAATACAGTACTGTTTCCCTAGTAGTTCGACAAAATGCCTTTTATATTCTTTCAAGGATTTCAAATCAATTTATATAATATCAGACAATGGAAGTCCGAACAAATGAAATAAACCACGAAACATTGTCGAACACCTTCAAAAAAACGTCTTATTGTTTGTTTCACAACGAATATAAAATAAAATATAATCGATGATTTTGTCAGGTGGAGATGAGCCAATTTAGACTGGAAAGCTCAGTTGAATGGGATCGGGCAAAAAAAATTTTGGAATATGTGAGGGAACGAATTTTCAACATGATCTCAGACCACATGTCACTCAAATACATGTTCGACATAAAATTCGCAGTTGTAGATTCAAACCGCGAAGAGTGGAAAATCAGTAGCGATCCTGGGAATACGCTTCCAGGCTGAAGTATTTGCAATCTTGCAACTCTGGAACAGCCTCAATTTGAGGCCTCAACCAAATGAGTGGAAGAATATTATCACAGACAACCAGGTTGCACTGGTCTAGGAATGTCGTGAATAACTGAGGGAACTGAGGGACAGGAATATATTGATAATATACTGGGTACCGACACTTAGGCGACGAAAGAGCTGACCAGTTTGCCAAACACGGGTCATCAACTTCATGTATGGGCCCCGAATCGACTTTAGGTGTACCAAATTCTATGGTACGGAACCAGATCGATAAATGGATCTACAAGAAATATTAGGAGTACTGAGAAAACACACCCAAAAACTCATGTGAAAAAACCCTTATAACGAGTCTGCCCGAGACAAAACCGAAGAACTGCTTCAACAGAGCAGGGATCAGCTTGAAACGAATATAGCGCTACTTACTGGGTACTGTCCATTGAGAGAGCATGTGAACAAAATGAGACTTCACAACGAAAATATAAACTGCAGGCAATGTAACAAAAGGACAAAGACAGTTCGTCATATTTTATGCGAATGCGAGGCAGTGGCTCTCAGGAAACAAACAATTTATGGACTACCCAGAAGATATTGAATACATCCAGCAAGGGACCTGTATATACTACTATAAGGCACACTATTATTGGAATGAGAAGGATGGGAGAAAAACGTAATGAGCACATGAGCCCTGGGAGATATGGACAAGTTAGACGGCTCCCAAGTATAAGAAAAGAAAAACAACTGAGGAATTCAAAAAATTCACAAACTTTTCAAACCAAATATTCAATTATGAGTTGAAAACTCTGGCCAGATGGCGGTGGGTACTTGGTAGTTTTTTCCACCAATAAGTGTTCAGCCCATCTGGGCCTAGAGCAGCAAAGTTCTTGGAATCAACAAGGGACCTTCGAACGTCATCCGGGGTTATCGGGTTGCGCAGTTCATTGAGCTCAGGCTGTCGAACCTCTCTGTTGAAAGCTTCGAACTGCGCTAGGGCTGGATTGTCTAAGTTGTGTTTATAGATATCCTTCCAGAAGGATTCCACCTGATCAGCAGTTTGCGGCTTATCCACAACACGTGGAGGTTCTTGGAATAAGCGAGAAGGTTTCTCGCGGATCCTAAGGTTTTTCGCTCGCCTCACTAGTGACTTCTTAGCAGCCACCAGCATTCGTATCCTATCAAGACAGTACTGTTTGGTGGTCAGCAGCACGCCTTGGCTTAGAGTGTGATGGATACGTCGTAGATTGGCGGCTATTCGCCGCACTGCGGGCGTGAAAGGCCTATTGGCCGCCCTGTAGTCCATCACAAATTGGATACGAGACGCATTTTGTCTCGCCGACGTGATCTTAGCCTTCATCTTGTGTACACGCCGTTCAATCTTCCGAACCGCAAGGCCGGGATTTCGTCCTTTCGATTCGGAAATCGATTGGACGACGTTATACACGGCGGTGTTGATTTTCCAGATGTCAGCCTCTTCTTTTAGAACACTATGAACCTTCGCATACAAACAAGCCAGTTCTTGTGGCTTCAGGGGACTAATCCTGTGGAGCGCTCTACGTGTTCTGATTGATTCCATTGGTGACATGATGCAAGTCTCCTCTCCAGCCGTGTCAACTGCTGGAGAGGAGACTCCTCCCCAGCCTGCTTCATTAGCAGGCTGGGGAGGAGCTATATAGCCCTGCCGCCGAAGTTAGGATACGTAATCCCTAAGATTTTGGACGGAAAAGGCTGCATGTTCCGGATGTGTTTCACACCACAGAGCATGCAATCTCGCCATGTACCCTCTTCGCGCGGGCTTACTACTCTCGTAGTAATGCATAAGGCTATCTCTCAGCTCATGCGTCCACTCAAAGCGTCCGTTGTCGTTGCCAGGGTTGTCGTCGGTAGGCAAATCATAGTTATGGACCCCACCACCTTGCCTCTAACCCCTCCGAGCGGGTCGATTGTGAGGGCCTCTTCCTTGATTATTGGGAACCAAGTATTGGGTAAGTGGGTCCACGGCCGGCACCGGAGAGAGAATAGTGTTATCCTTCCTGGGTGCGCCTGGGCTGCCGGTCCGGTTTTGCACCAGTTGCTTGGGTAAGTGGTGTCGCAAGTCACGAAAGGCCAAGGGTGTTAGTGGCCATCCCCTCTCATTATATGCGACTGAGTATAAGAAAAAAATTAGGTGGAGTGTAAGGACTCAAATTAGCTGTTTCTCTAGCCGTATCAGTACTCGACCTTTTGAAAGTTTCAAACTTCAAAATACCGTATACGTACAAACCACAGGCATTAAAACGTAACTGACCACTCCGAATCTGTAACAATGAATTTCACCAGCCGACTGCAGTTGGATCTGATTGGCCAGCATAGATAAACTTGTTAATTTTACCCAATGGATGCAATATGCGTCGTGATCAAGCTTTGATCATGCATTGTTTGAGTAACTTTTTTTGTTGGATAGATATAGTTTGGTGCACAATTTTCGGTGCCGATTCCTCTATCCAGTATTGGAATTGTTCCAAACCCTATTGGTAACCAATTGTACACCCCACAAGACAATCGACGCAACTAGCGAAATTGTTACCCTCTCAATATGATGTCCGGTTCCACCATTCATCTTCTCAGAGAAAATTGAGCATTGAATTTCACTTGGTTATGTTAGCCTGAATCAAAAATTTTTCCAGATCCTCGTTGAAATATAAAACCTTTTCTTGATGATGAAGATTAGTACTGGAAGCTGGTTTGATAGTTATGATTGAAACCTATAAAATGAATTTATAGGTCACTATTTTTCCATACCAGACAAAAATGCTGTCTTCAACGCTAAGCAAGTAGGCTTCATCAGGAGTCTTTAGCAAGACTAAGACCTAATCTGAGTGATTACTGAGGCTTAGACTTACTTTTAGTCTCAGTAATCTCCTGATGACTAGGACTCAATCTTATTCTTTGTCTACTATGTTGATGATAATAACCAAGTGAACATCATCAGGAGATGCCTAAGACTTAGTCCATAGCGTACTGACTATGTATTGCATGGGCATTTGGTTATGAGAAAGCTCTGTTCAAAGTGGGTGTCGCTCGAGCTCACTATTGACCAATAACAACGTCTTGATGTTTGGCCATTGTTTGGCCAAGATTAAACATTACAAATCGGAATTTTTCAGTCGATATATTAGAACAATGGATGAAACATGGACTCATCACTTCACTCCAGAACCAAAACGATCGTCATCTGAGTGGAGAGCAACTGGTGAACCTCGTCCAGAGCGCTCGAAAGCACATCAATCGGCTGGATAGGTAATGGCCTCGATATTTTGAAATGTGCGTGGTGAAATAATCATCAATTATCTTGACAAGAGAAATACCATCAACAGTGAATATCATATAGCGTTATTGGATCATTCAAAGGCCGAAATTGCAAAGAAACAACCGCATATGGCAAAGGGAAAAATTTTGTTTCATCAAGACAACGCATCGTTTCACAAGTCAATTAAAACATACATTAATTGAACTTCAAATTGCTCCCACATCCAACGTATTCGCCAGACTTGGCTTCCAGAGACTACTGGCTAATTGCAGACCTCAAAAAAATGTGTGGCTCTTGATGGAGATTGCGTTGATGAATAAAGCCGACATTGAACAAAAAAAAACGCGTTTTCTTCCGGAACTTTTCAGCCCACGTGTTATACTATCCAGCTGAATACAACCAAAGATGTTTCTTAATCTGTACTTCTAGGCGAGTTGGAATTATTAGCCTATGCGATAGTGAGGTGAATAGTTTTACTTTCTCCAAAATAAACTCCCTATTCATCTGATGTCATTCTACAACCCTGAAAATATGTTTTAATAAAAGCGAACCTGGCATAACAAGAACTATCTAGAGGATAATAAAATTCCCGCCAGACGGGCAGCTCCCGCTAAACCGTTGAAGCGGTGGGAGGGAAGAGGGGATAGGTGGAGGCACCCGAATGACCTCCAAATAGTCATCCATTGGACGAATAAGTTCAGTCATCACCCGAAGATGATTTTGGATACCAACAATCGAAACGTCGTGAAGAAACTTGGCTTGAAATCTTTTGATTTTCAATTGTTGCTTGCATTTCATTTTATTGCAGTTTCAGTTCAGCGTTGTTTTTTGGCTTGATATTTTGACTTGTTATTTTCAGTTATTCTTTTAAATTTAATTGATTCTTTCAGGGATTTCAAATCATATGTAAAGAAATGAACTTTAAATATTTAAGCCTGTTTCAGATATACCTAAACAGTAGGTTGAATGGACTGATGCCTATCAGGAAACAACTACTCCACTGGCTAATATCACGAATGGCGTTGGATTATATCCGACAGGCAGAAAATTTTCTGTGAAGATTCCTGGTATTCGTGGTATTACCCAGTGGAGTAGTTGTTTTCTGATAGGCGTCAGTCTATTCAATCTACTGTGTAGATATATCTGAGACAGGCTTGAACATTTATAGTTCATTTCTTTAGATTTGTTTACTGCCTGTCTTCAAACATAGCCCACTGACTAATAAGAAAGTTTTTCTTCCTTATTCAGACGAATCGGACAAATTTCGGATATGCAGTTGGTTAATACCTCGTCCAGTAGATGGGGTGACATTTTTGTTGTTCGCTCCAACTTCGGACGTGGAATGAAATACCCTGGAAGAATTTCGATTTTCAATTATGGAATATTATTATTGACTTCAGGTCGATGATGGTCACTATCTTGCACTGACGAGTGGCTAAGAAGCCTGAAACCGGTCTGCAAGTGTGCCCGTTCCAAAATTGAAGGTCAACTCTTTCAGTTGTATTGTCAATTGCATATGCAGGAAATTTTCTGTCAAGATTCCTGCATTGACGCTTGTCGGATATAATCCAACGCCATTTGTGATATTAGCCAGTGGAGTAGTTGTTTTCTGATAGGCGTCAGTCCATTCAGTGTAGGTATATCTGAGACAGGCTTGAACATTGAAAGTTCATTTCTTTAGATTTGTTTACTTCCTGTCTTCAACCATAGCCCACTGACTAAGAAAAATTTCAAATCATTGATATGATATTAGACAATGAAAGTCCAAACTAATGAAATGCACCATGAAACATTGTCAACCACCTTCAAACAAATGATACACAAAAGTGTTGGAATGGTATCCTGTATGAAGTTAATAGGCCAGGCGTACTATGTTGAAAAATACTGATTTTTCAGAAAAATTCCTTACAAGGTAAACTCAACGAGAATGAGTTGGGAAGGTAGTCAGTAATGTTGGGGCAAAAATTCAACAGCTGAATGTTTGCAGGGACGGAGGG